TGGACTCTTGCCTAGCTACCTGTCAGCTCTTGTTTCTTGGGGAGTTGTTCTTCCTCTTGTGACAGCAGAGGGTAGCTGGTTATTAGAAAGGGACTGCAGGTTAGCTAGCAGGGCTGGAGATAGGTGGCTGCAAGAGGGAAGACCTGCTGAGGTGGTGGCCTCTGCTGCCAGTCGCCTCGGGGAGTCTCCAGCCTGGACATCCATGGCATGGAAGATGGCCACTATGTCCTTGAACTTCACAAAGCCTCTTTTGGAACTGTACACAATGGGTGGTAAATTACATTACGTGGGTGCTCCATACACCTGCTAAATGAATAATATGCATTTTCTTTTCACAGCTTTAAGGAATAGTGCATGTAAAGTGGCAGTCTTATCAAAAAGACAAACCTTTTTCTCTTCTCGAAATTTCAGAAATAAAAATAATTATTCCTGTAGTTTAAAGTGATGCCATTTATTTTTCCTCCCCAAACTTAATTCTTTTTCTCTGTAGATTCCCAAGTTTATTGTCAACCAAGTGAGGAAGCAAAACACTGAAAATCATAAAAAGGATAAAAAAGCCATGAAGAAACTGCTGAAGAAAATGGCTTATGACCGAGAAAAATATGAAAAGCAAGATAAGAATACAAATGATGTAAGACAATTTTGGAGCTACGTATTTATTCAGACTTTGGTATTTTTTTAATGTTCCCCCAAATTTTTTGTATGTTTTTATAGTATGACTTTCTAGCACTTTCTAGACAGTGGTACTACTTCTAAGCAAAAGGCATCAATAACAATAACAATCTCTATTACTGGTAATATTAATATTAACAGTTGGCTAGGTAGGTATTGGTGACTCAGTATGTGAGTTGTTAATGGGGAACAGAGGAAGATAACAAGACAAAACTGTCTGAACACACACACACACACACACACACACACACACACACACACACACACGACTTCTTAAGAGACTCTAGTTGCCCACTGAATGTGTAATGTATAGTGAGTAAAGAATTCCTTGTGTGTGAACTACTGATCTTTTTCCTTTAATTTTCTTATCTATAAAAGGGGCAACAAATAACTAACCCAGATAGGCAAATAGGCTAATGTTTGTGTGTGCCTAGGATCATTCCTAGACTTCAATAAGTATTTGAAGGTTCTTTTTTTTTTTTTTTTTTGAGACAGAGTCTCACTGTGTTGCCTGGGCTAGAG